GAACTCCTGACCTCATGATCCACCTGTCTCGGCCTCCCAAAGTGTTGGGATTACATGCGTGAGCCACTGCCCCCAGCCCATAGTCGACTTTTGACTTCCCAAAAACTTAACTACTAATAGCCTACTGTTGACCAGAAGCTTTACTGATAACATAATCAATTAACACATATGTTGAATGTTATGCGTATTATATACTACATTCTTACAATAAAGTAGGCTAGAGAAAAAAAAATGTTATTAAGAAAATCATAAGGGGCTGGGCATGGTGGCTTATGCCTGTAATCCTAGCACTTTGGGTGGCTGAGGTGGGCAGATTACTTGTGCCTAGTTCAAGACCAGCCTGGACAACATGGCGAAACCCACTCTACAGAAACATACAAAACTACAAAAAAATTAGCCAGACATGGTAGCGCACACCTGTAGTCCCAGCTACTTGGGAAGGTAAGGTGGGAGGATCACCTGAGCCCAGGAGATCGAAGCTGCAGTAAGCCGTGATCGTCGCATTGCGCTCCAGCCTGGGCAACAGAGTGAGGCCATAAGGAAGGGAAAATATATTTATTATTCATTAAGTGGAAGTGGGTTATCATAAAGTTCTTCATCATTGTCTCCATATTGAGTAGGCTGAGGAGGAGGAGGAAGATGAGGAGTTGATCTTACTATCTCAGGGGTAGCAGAGGCAGAAGAAAATCCACATATAAGTGGACCCGTGCAGTTAAAACCCTTGTTCAAGTGTCACCTGTACATTTGAATGGAAATCTGAATAATGAGAAATTAATTTTGATGGGTATGGAAGATTAGGGAGAGCGATACTAGGGCAAAAGTTGTTTTAATTTATTTATTGTGTTTCATTTTAAATTCCAAAAGTAGTACATTATCACTGAAAAAAAATTAAATGCAGAAGTATGTAGAGTAAAAAGTAAATGCTTCTCTTCAGAGTCTCTCCAAGCTTAGTCCTCTTGTAAGCACTGGTAACATATCAGAGGTTATGTTGAAGAAAGAAGACGAAAAAATTAAATGGAGTGTGGCTAGATTAACAGGAGCCTAAAATTCTAGGTCAAGGATTTTCAAAGTGATTTAAAAGAGAGTTAAAAGGGCATTATAGACCTTTTTTTAAAAAAAAGAAAAAAATATATATATTTTTTCTCTCTCTTTTTTTTTTTTAAGACAAGGTCTCGCTCTGTCTCCCAGGTGCACAGTGGCCGCAATCTTGGCTCACTGCAACCTCTGCCTCCCGGGTTCAAGCCTCACCCTCACGATTAGCTGGGACTACAGGCATGCACCACCACGCCTGGCTAATTTTTACATTTTTAGTAGAGATGGGGTTTTGCCATGTTGGCCAGGCTAGTCTCGAACTCCTAGCCTCAAGTGATCTGCCCACCTCGGTCTCCCAATGTGTTGGGATTATAGGTGTGAGCCACCATGCCCAGCCAATTCTTTCTTTTTTCTTTTTCTTTTTTTTTTTTGAGACAGAGTTTTACTCTGTCACCCAGGCTGGAGTGCAGTAGCATGATCACGGCTCACTGCAGCTACAACCTCCCTGGCTCAAGCAATCCTCCCACCTCAGCCTCCTGAGAAGCTGGGACTACAGGCATGCGCCACCACGGTCGGCTAATTTTTTGTATTTTTAGTAGAGGCAGGATTTTGCTATGTTTCCCAGGCTGGTCTCAAACTTCTGGCCTTAAGCAATCCTCCCACCTCAGCCTCCCAAAGTGCTGGGATTACAGGTGTGAGCCATTGCACCCAGCCAAATGTAGATTCTTTTTATGTATGTATGTGTGTATGTATGTATTTATTTTTGAGACAGAGTTTCACTCTTGTTGCCCAGGCTGGACTGCAGTGGTGTGATCTCGGCTCACCGCAACCCCCGCCTCCCGGGTTCAAGCGATTCTCCTACCTCAGTCTCCCAAGTAGCTGGGATTACAGGCGCCTGCCACCACACGCGACTAATTTTTTGTATTTTTAGTAGAGATGGGGTTTCACCAGCTTGGCCGGGCTGGTCTTGAACTCCTGACCTCGTGATCCACCCGCCTTGGCCTCCTAAAATGCTGGGATTATAAGTGTGAGCCATAGCGCCCGGCCTCAAATGTAGATTCTTAATCAGAGGAGGAGTGAGGAGTGATCTCTCTCTCTGTCTTTCTCTCTCTCTTTTTTGTTGTTGTTGTTGAGGTGGTGTCTTGCTCTGCCATCCAGTCTGGAGTGCAGTGGTGCCATCTCGGCTCACTGCAACATTCACCTCCCAGACTCCAGTGATCCTACCACCTCAGCCTCCCAAGTAGCTGGGACCACAGGCACATGTCACCACAACTGCCTGATTGTTGTATTTTTTGTAGAGATGGGGTTTTGCCATGTTGCCCAGGCTGGTCTTAAACTCCTGGACTCAAGTGAACTGCCTGCCTCAGCATCCCAAAGTGCTGGGTTTACAGGCACATGCAACAATGACCGGCTAATTTTTGTATTTTTAGTAGAGATGAGGTTTCACCATGTTGGCCAGACTGGTCTTGAACTCCTGACCTCAAGTAATTCGCCTGCCTTGGCCTCCCAAAGTGCTGGGGTTACAGGTGTGACCCACTGCACCTGGCCCATTAATCTTTTTTTTTTTTTTTTTGAGACAGAGTCTAGCTCTGTGGCCCAGGCTGGAGTACAGTGGCCAGATCTCAGCTCACTGCAAGCTCCGCCTCCCGGGTTCACGCCATTCTCCTGCC